TACTTCGGACCCATATGCAAAAGGTTTTGATCCTAATGTACGGTGCATGTACCACTCTAATGTCCAAGGTCATAGCATTGAAGATTGTCGTGCTTTGAAAAGGGAGATAGAAAGAATGATTCAAGAAGGGATAATTGTGGTCCAGGACAACGACACCCAGAATATCGCGCAAAATCCTTTACCTGCACATGATGATGCACACTTTGTGGGGAAGATGCGCGGTGACAGGGAGTAGGAGAATCCTCTTGGGAACTTGCTGACTGAAGTTAACGATATTGAAATTGGTGAAGATCCCAGTAATTTTGATGTGCAACCTAGTGGCTAAGATGTCGAGCTTGGTAATTGGAAAGACACTCCTTTCTTGGCTAGCTAGGGAGGAGTTTTGGTGGTTTATTTTGTTGTCATTTCTGTTTGTCCGGGTTATTTCAGAGTTGTAATCCGGATATTGTCTTGTGGCTCAAACTCTTCTTCTTCTTCTCATTTTGTCTAGTTCGTTTAGTTGTAGTAACTCGTCTAGTGTTATTTAGGATTGTTCCAGGGTTGTAACCCATGTCTATTTTGTTTGTCTTGTTCAAACCCTTTTCATCATCTATCTAATGCAATCTCCTATTTTCTGTTAATTCTAGTCAGTTTTTGTTTAAGTCATTTTTCCTTTTATAGTCCTTTTCATGCCCACTCTAGTGACATGACATGCGCGCATAATTCTCAGCCTTATCTTGAAAGTTAGTCTAATCATGAATCAATGGCAGAGTTTTGAATATGATAAAAGGATGCGTTTGAGGAAACAATTAAAGATTCACGCATTCTTAGAAACCTGAAGCTTGAATTGAGTGAAACTGAGGCAGTTAGTTTGGAAATCAAGAGGTTGATGAGAGCATACAACAAGGGAATGTCTCTCAAGCAGTTTGAGGTAGATTAATCAGTGTTGAAATGCATTCTTTCACATCAAGATAAGTTTTAATCAAGTCTGCTTCGAAATGGCAAGGATCATTCATTGGTACAGAGGTATTACCCATTGGCGCTTTTGTTTGGATTTCTTTGCTTATCTTCAATTGCATGTTTGTACTTGGTATTTTTAAAGTTTGGTATGATGAAGACATTTTATTCTGCTACCCAAAAACTTTTATCCTTTGCTACCCATTTTGAGCCCTAATATTTTGTTCCATACCCCTCTTTTGGAATCAGAAATAGAGTCAGGAACTAGAAAAGGAAAAGAAAAAGAGAAAGAGAAGAAAAAAAGGAAAAGAGAAAAAGAAAAAAAAGAAAAAAAAGAGAAAAGACAAAAAAAGGAAAAATGAAAAACAAAAGAGAGAAGGAAAAGAAAAAAAACAACTTTGTTCTTTGAACTATGTTCGACCTGATTCTTGTCACCACAAGATACGTAGGTAGTCTTACGGTTCGGTCACACCGAATAAAATATTTCATAATACCCCGAAGTCAAGAGTGGGGCAAATTTTCTTAGAAATCCCATCAAGAAAAAAAAATCCAAAAAATCCCCAAGCTCCAAGAAACTGGGGCCGAAGTTTTGGTTTTGCAAAAGATCTGATTCCAAAAGTTAAAATTTTGAACCATTTTCATCTTAAATTATTTTGAGCCTTTATGCCACCCTTTCTTTCTAGCCTTGTCCAAAAGCCTAAATTACGGTCCAAAGAAAGACCTTCCGACCAATCTTTGAGGATGTCAAATCAAGTGCGTGGTCAAAGTATAATCTTCTTGTATCATGGGTAATACTTTGTTCTCAACACAAAGAGAGAAATGACAAAATGAGAAAGTCTTATCGGTGAAAACCCTCATGGGCACCGTAAGGCGATGGTGAGTTGAGAAAAAGAGCAAAATGAGAGAGTCTTGATGGTGAAAACCCTTCAGGGCACTACAAGTCGACTGAGGATTGTGGATCAGATGGGACAATTGAAGCGCTGAAGCCCAGTTTCACAGCGAAGAGGTACAACAAGAGTTGAATATTAGAATTGCTTGAGAGATTAGGCCACTTAATCCAAAGGTGCACGTTATGGTCATTAGAGTTGGTATCCACATCTGATAAGTTTCTACTTTGTAATTTTCTTGTTAGGTATCATCTCTTTTCCCTGTCCCTTATTTTGTTTCTCTTGTTTTGTTTGAGTCCCTTCTTCAGTCTGTTTGGTCAGAACAAGTGAGAAATGACTTCAAAATTTGCTACCAGCTTTCCAATTGCACAAAGCAGAGTCTGGCTAGCACATCCAAATGGCATAATTCAGGAAAGAACAGTATGCGCACGGAGTTGGTAACAACTAACATGCTTTGGGATTCATGTGAAATGCAAAGATTCAATAAATGTCAATTCATGAGCAAAATGCAACATATAGAGGATATTGGGATCAAATGGAGTTGAGGTGTTTTCTGTGATAAAGGTTGAAAGAAAATGGGTAGTCGATAACAGGCAGGGTCCTCCAAGTTGAAATCAAAGTTATCTTGGCAAGTGCAGAAGCAGCCGTCTTTAAGGTCAAGGCCACAAACTAACCACCGTATTTTAAACTCACAAGTTTTCTTTGTCTGAAACAGGGATGAAGGCTATGTTCATAACAAAGCTTGAATTTTTCAGGTGTAATGCCCCAATTCTGCTTATGCAAAGGCTATTAAGAAGATCACATATCACCCCTAGGAGAAATACTTCCTAGTCTGGGTCTTTCAAGTTATATTTTGTTTTAGGAGACGCACTTCCTAAATTGAGATTTTACCCCCAGGAGATGCACTTCCTAGTTTGGGTATTTCAGGTTATATTTTTATTTTTAGGAGACGCACTTCCTAATGTTGGTCATTTAAATTCATTCCTAAGAGACGCACTTCCTAGCTTTGGTCATTTACATTCATTCATAGGAGACACACTTCCTAGTTTTAGTCATTGAAGTTTTACCCATTAGGAGACGGACTTCCTAGTAGGGGTCTTTCAGATTATACTTGTTAGGAGACGCACTTCCTAACTTTGGTCATTTAAATTCATTCCTAGGAGACGCACTTCCTAGTTTTAGTCATTGAAGTTTCACCTCTAGGAGACACAAATCCTAGTCTGGGTCTGTCAGGTTATATTTTTGTTTTAGAAGACGCACTTCCTAAGTTGAGAATTTTTCCCTAGGAGACACACTTCCTAGTTTGGGGCCGTTTAAGTTTATTCCTAGGAGACACACTTCCTAGCTTGAGTCATTGAAGTTTCGCCTCTAGGAGACGCACTTCCTAGTCTGGGTCTTTCAGGTTATATTTTTGTTTTAGGAGACGCACTTCCTAGTCTGGGTCTTTCAGGTTATATTTTTGTTTTAGGAGACGCACTTCCTAAAGTGAGGTTTTACCCCTAGGAGACACACTTCCTAGTTCGAGACATTGAAGTTTCACCCCTAGGAGACGCACTCCCTAGTTTGAGTTATTCAAGTTTTATTCCTAGGAGATGTACTTCCTAGTTTTGGTTCATTCAAGTTTCACCCCTAGGAGATGCACTTCCTAGTTTAAGTTATTCAAGCTTTACCCCTAGGAGACGCACTTCCTAGTTTTGGTTTATTCAAGTTTCACCCTAGGAGACGCACTTCCTAATTTTTGGTTCATTCAAGTTTCATCCCTAGGAGACGCACTTCCTAGTTTGGGTTATTCAGATTTTATTATTAGTAGACACATTTGCTAGTCAAAGTTTATTGGTTTTACTCACATGATACACACATCCTAGNCATTCAGATTTTATTATTAGCAGACGCATTTGCTAGTCAAAGTTTATTGGTTTTACTCACAGGAGACGCACATCCTACTCGAGTCTTTAGTTTTACTCTCATCATTGCATCAATAACACAGGTGATTTACAGTTTTGCTAACAACTCACAAATCTTCCTAGTGCAAACTGGGGCAGAAAATTTTGTTTGTTTTGTTGTTTTGATTGCAGGCACCCACCTGGAGAACGAGGGAAGACATTTCAGAGTTCATTTCAGAATTATTTCAAGTTTCAAGTCAGTAGCAGGTACCCACCTGGAGAGCGAGGGAAGTCATTTCAGAATTCAATTCAAGTTAGAAGTAGCAGAAGCTCGCGGCAAGAATGCGAGTCGATAGTCCGAGGTGACCAAGGCTCAAGACGTGGTTGAAGTTATTTCTGGTCTTGATCCGGAAAAGCTGAAGAAGAATGAACTAACACCTGCAGCTAGTGAGCGTCAAGGTTCAGATCTAAAGTCTACATGAAAAACCATTCGAGACTCAAGATCAAGCTTCAGAAGTCTTATAGATAGGAATTTTGTAACTCATAACTGACATGCTTAGTTAGTCTTTTTCATTTTTTGATTTTTGATGTAATAACAGGACCGCGGACCGGAACCTCGACGGTACCTCGATCGGCTCTCCACCTCGGTATACTCCATCATCTCACGCACTTCTGAATTACACGTGGCCTGATTCCTTTATAGCCAAGGATATGTAGACAGCTCAGATACCAGGGCTCGGTCACACTCTCTTCCTTTCTCTTAGTTTTTGGTCTCTCCAAATAAGGGTCGGGTCAAAAACCTGTCTAGTCGTTCTTTGTCTGAAAATACTTCGTATTTCTAGTCAAAGAGGGGCAGCTGTAGACATGTAATTTTTGACCCTCCCCGAAATTTCACTCATTTTAGCGTAAAATATTTAATTTAGGCTTAATATAGTTATTTCAACCAATTTTGACTCTTTTACTTTATTTTAAAAACAAAAATTGAAAATTACAAAAATAGTTTCATATTTCTCTATTTAATTCACGTATTAGATATCGTTAGGAAGATATGATACTTTGAACCTATTTTATTTTTACAAAATCTTGAAAAGTACCAAAATAGTTTCATAGTATAATATATTTGTTTTAATTAATTAGGATTAGTTTTATATTTTTATTTTTTGTAAATTTTATATCATTTTCAGAAAGAAGAGTGAGTTTTCGACTTAATTTATCACATTTTTAGCAAGAGAGGTTCATTCTTGATCTTTTAGCCCAATTTCAAGCCCAACAAGACTGAACCCATTACCCCTTCTTCTTTAAACCTAGCCCTAGAAAGACTTTCTTCTTCTTCCTTAGAAAAAAAAATCCTAGGACACAAGACTAAAAACCCATGGCTGCCATCTTCAACAGATATACAACACAAAAACCCTAGAACCCATCTTCTTCCTCATAAGATAACTAAGACAACAAAGAGACAAAAAACCCTAGCTGAACCCTAACCTACTGCCGCCGCCGCCCCTCGCTGGCAACCACCACAACCACCTATACCCGCCCCCATCCGTGACCAGCAGCCCAGCAACCGAACGACCCCTGCTCTTCTCCAACCAAACCAGACATCTAAAACACCATAGCCGTCCACCCTCTTCCAAGGCACAGCAAACAGCCGCGGTGCACAAACAAAGAAAAAAACGACTTCAGCTGCATTACCTCCCTCCTCGCCCTGGCTGTTGTTCCTCCGTCTTCGCCGCCGATCGAAGTTACTCACCGGCGATGGCAAGCGACAATGAAGACCATCGTTTAATCATTTTCCTTCCACATTTCTCGCTTTGTTCTTTCTTTTACGGGTAAACAGATCTGAAAATCGAGAAAGGAAAGCTTCTAAAATCTGGATTTCTAAGAGGTTTTGTTTTAGGTCGAATTTGCCATTTGTTGCTAAAGTTGTTTCTGCCCAGTCGAGTTTCATATCACTTGTCACCCGCTACATCCTGCTTTTTTCTCGTTTTTAAAGTTTGAGTTCTTGTTGCCGATGGAGGTCGCCAATCGATTTTCCGGTCCAGGTCTTGTTCCAAAGTTTCTGTCAAGTACTTGTATGCCATCTCGAGTATTCATGCTTCCAATCTTTCGAACGGTTGCAATCAGATTCTGTTTTTGAGGTCCCTCTCATCTCCTTCTCTTTATTATGCGTGTTGTTATTTCTCATGTGCTATACTAATTACATGATAATGGCTTAATGTTCTTGGTTGGTTTAAGTTCTGTCAAATTGCCTTTTGTTTTATTTTAGTTGAGCTTGTTTGCTTATTTTTGGTTGGGGTCTAGGTCCTTGTACATTTGTTACTTGTAATGTCGGCTTTGAATTACTTGTATGTGCTGAATCACACATAGAAATTAATGGATAGATGATGCTTATGAACAGAAATGGGATTGAGGTTCGGGATTTGAAGATTCAAAAACGATTTGGGATGCTAAGACGGATTTTTTGATAACTAGCGATTAAAATGATTTTAGCTTAGGTTGATTTCCCTCATTTCATTCTTTGCATTTATTAATTTACCCGCTAGAAACATGTCTCGGCCGGCCACACTTGGGTAGGCAAACCTTTAGGATTTTATTTGAATTTATGAGGCGAGAGGTCGTTCCCTTAGTTAAATTTATCCGGGGAATGCCCCGAAGGATTTGTATATACTTTATCCGGGGTATGCCCCCGTAGTACATGTATTTGGAAGCTGTGACGAACACCATGGAGGAAGTATAATGTAGGCTAGCTTTTATTTATTTTTATTTTTCTTTTATTAGGTGGGGACGACTTCTAGCCTTTTTGTGTGTATTTTCTTTTCTGTGACTTTACCTCAACTTGAATATTTTAAAAGCTAACTAGATCGAGTATGCAACCGTACTAGTTACAGAACTTGGGGAGTGCCTAACACCTTCTCCCCGAGTCAAATGAACCTCTTACCCGAATCTCTGGTGCAGACTTAGTTTTGGAGTCTCAAGTGCTTTGAAAGGAAAAAATTATTTTTAGAAAAAAAAAAACGGTGACCGGACACACCGAAATCAAATGTCAGGTGGTGGCTCTGAGTTATTTTCTTTTGAACACAATTTTTTGTCACTTTCTAATTGAAAAACCCTGTCGAGCTTTACTAAATCTTTTTATTTATTTAAGAGGGTTAGTGAAGCTTGTAAAAAAAGGGGTGTGACAGCGGGGATCTCGACACGTATCGATAAAGAACCGACAGTTAGTTAATCAAAAGATTTTTTTACCTTTTACAAAATTGTACCTAAAGTAGGACTCCCCTACTATATAAAAGGATGTCTGATAATTCATGAAACAGATTGTTACACGCATTCCAAAGCAATATATTATTATTTTCTCTGTTGTTAGCTCTTTTTCTTGTTCATCAGTGTTGGCCATTGCAAGTCTAGATCGGGGGTGAATACTTCACTAAGGCTGGAATTATCCTCCTCGTGTGATTTGAATTTATTTCATCTTTGTTTGTTCAATCTAACTCAACTTGTCACTTAGTATCAAATTAATCAGCGTATCTTTAAAACCACTACAAATTTAATTGTTATTCGATTTTGAGGGTAAACAAACATCCCAACCCTTCTCCATTTATCTACATTTGCTAATATGAGGAAATTTACACAGGAGGAGTTCGACCTTGACATCCAGCATGGGCGGCAATTGCTCTCTAATTGTTACAGTGAAGCATTTTTATTATTGTTGTTTGGTTCAGCATAAACAAGAAATTCATTAAAGTAGAAAACTATGGTAGATATATATGAACACGAGTTTACAAAATTTGGCTTTTGCTATAATGGTTGGTTTTTTTAAGTGTTTTGTTTGTTTTCTAGTGGCTCTCCCATAAAAATGGCTCCTCGAGCCAGAATCCAACATCGGCTTCAACCTGCGGCCAAGTTGAAATTGGATCAGAATAACGGCCAATTTGATCTACTTTATTGATTGAAAGATCAGGCAGGTTGAAAAATGTATCATCGTTGTCCGTTGATAAGTCGGTGGATGAACATGAACTCTGTAGCTCGATTGGGCTCGAGATTTCATGGCTGGGTTCGGCTCGAGACTTCATTTCCTCGGGAAATGTGGTGGCAGCGGCTTTTGCAGCCGCGATTTGAATGTCCTTAGGGGAAATAGAAGCTGGTCGTGGGAGTTGATCAGCTAAATAAGGAAAATTAAGGTAAGCCGAGTGTCTTTGATGGCTAAAGCCGCGACATCATGAGCTCAAGCTGCCATTTCAGCCGTTGAATAAGCTCCAAACCATATTCTTGATTTTTTCCTTGGCTCTCGAATTTCGGACACCATTTTCCCCAATTCCTCTTACGAACTCCTCTATATGTCGGATGCTTGTCATCGCCTTCTTTTTTCCTTCTCTTCCTGTTCTCATCGGTGCCACCAATATGATCATTTGCTTTGTAGTTGAATTCTTGAACTTCTTTTGAGATTGTTTTCACTTTATATTCTATTGAGATTTTCGTATTGCTCTTCAGGAAGGAGGAGGAGGACGAAGAAGAAGTGGTGATGGTTGAAGGAGAATTTAAGCTATTAGAGGATGAAAATGAAGTAGAGAAGTCATGATAATGGGCTGGAGTTTCAAGGTTGATTTGTTCTTCAAGATCTTTCATTATAGTAACTAGAGATAGTGATTGTAGTAGTAGTAAGAAAAAGATTGTAGGAAGGACAGTACATTAAAATAGAAATGCTAGGTTTTTTTGCTTCTATGGTTCTTGTTCTATAAATTGGTGCATTCATTTAAATAAATATAGGGGGGAAAACAAAGGTGAGAAAAGGAAATAAAGAAGAATGGACCGTTGGCCATGAGGGTGTGTACAGTTCATCTATTTTGTAAGCCATGTGGAAAATGGCTTTATTTTATTTTTTGAAAAAGGGAAATAAAAATGAAGAGAAAATTAAAAACAGAAATGAATAGTCGTAGTAGTTTTCGGCGTCATCACAGCCACAGGCTAGAAATTGTCCTTGTTAAAAACCATGAGATTTGCATAGGGTCCTTNCCGTTAGGACCGCGGGCCCGGTCCGGTCCGGTTCAGGCCCGGCCCACCGAGCAGCATTACCTTGTAGGGTAATCCATGATATGTGCTATCTATTGATTAAGGAAGTGTTTGGTACAGTGGAACAGGTTTTGTTGAAAAATAAAATTTCTGAAAAATAAGTGATTTTTCCTTGTTTGGTTAGTGATTAAAAAAAAAATTCGAAAAATATTTTCTAGTATTTGGTTAGAGAGTAAAAAATATTTTTTAGGAAAATAATTTTCTATGCTACTCTCTTCATCCCCCCCCTTTCATCTCCCAATTCCCCATGTTTTCTGTGCTCCTCCCCCCTCCCCCAAATATCCAACATTTTCAAGATTCTATTTTCTTTAAATATTTAATTATTCTTTTAAAAATTTACACAAACACAAAGGAACTAATATGTTGCTTTACTTTTTCACATAAGAACATCATTGAAATTTGAGCTCCATAACAAAACAAAAAATACTCTTTTTTTTATGAAAAAAAAGTACTCTTTCTATATGAAAAGAAAATAGTCGTTTTGTTGAGATGAAAGAAAATATTTTGTTTATACTATGTAAAGAAAATATTCAATTTGTTGAATGGAAAGAAAATATTTTTTCTATTACATGAAAAGAAAATACTCATTATGTTGAAATGAAAAAGAAAGCACTCTATCTATAACATGAAAAGAAAATTTTCTTAATAATATTTCTACTTAGGGTAGGGGTGAGGGGTAATGTAGGGGGTTGGGTGGGGGTTGGGTAGGGTTGTAAGTAGG